TAGATGTTGTTATACACCGAACCGTATTGCTTGGGGAAGGCTCCGGGGTAATTGAAATGCTCCATCGTCTAATCACTTGAGTACACTCCACACGCACGTGGCTTTGACCCGGAGTAGGCTGGGCCTCGCCGAATTGCTTACCTTACCATCCTTTGTACCTTTCGCTGGAAGAAGAAGAGCTTGCAGAGATAACCACACAGAATCGTTCCTCGAGGTTACAAGCCATGCCAGCGCAACCACCCAAGGTACGTCGAATTACTTTCACTGCTGCCACGAGAACGAACAAGGCTGATCAGATCTAAAAGATGCAGCTTCGATATGGGCTATCAAATATCCCTCTAAGCAAACAGTCAATATACGCCATCGCCCTAGCCCTCGCCGCCCTCTGGGTAGTGCAGAGCTTCATCCGAGCATGGTGGCGCCTCCGTCACATTCCCAGCGCGCACTTCACCGCGCCATTCTCCTACTTCTGGATAGGACGCACCACATACAGCGGCCGCCAATACTGGGTACTCCGCGACCTACACACCAGACGTGGTCCGCTTGTGCGCGTCGGGCCCAACGAAGTCGTCACCGATGACCCGAACATCCTGCGCACCATCTCTGCGGCGCGCAACCATTACCCTCGCAGCGATTGGTACGAAGCCGGCCGGTTCAACCCGTATCATGGCAATCTGTTCACCACTACCGACCCCGCCGAGCACAAAAAGGCGAAAACAAGGTCCATGGCCGCATACAACGGGCGCGAAACTCAAGGCCTAGAGGGTTTGATCGACGACCAGGTCAAGACGCTTATCAGCGTTGTCCGAAACCGCTATGTGGTGTCTTCGCCAGGAATGGGCCAGCCTCTGCTGGATTTAGCGGCCATCACAAAATACTTCACCATGGACGTCATCACACGGATGGGTTTCGGCAAAGCGGTGGGCTACCTCGAGGACGAAAAAGACCACTACGAATTCTTGGGCACAGTAGACGCGCTTTGGCCGAGGATGTCGACGGTGGCTGACATACGTTGGATCCGCAAGATTGCGTTCTCGCCTTTCGTGCTCAAATTGGTCGGACCAAAGAGCAGTGATAAAAAGGGTTTTGGGGCGCTCATGGGGTAAGCACCTGCCTGACGGTCATTGGCACTCTCGCTAACTTCCGATTAGTTTCGCAGCTGATCAGGTCAGCCGTCGCTTTACTTCACCCGATGGTGGTAAGAATCATAAGGATTTCCTGGCGAGTTTGATGGCTCGCGGCTTCACAGAAGAAGAGTGCCAATCCGAGGGCCTTTTCCTCCTGCTCGCTGGAAGTGAGAGCACCGCCAACGCCATGCGCTCCATTCTCATCCACACCATAAGTTCGCCCGCCGTGTATAGCCGACTCTCTGCTGAGATCCAGGACGCGGTACGGATGGAGAAGGTGTCCTACCCCATTACCTTGGAGCAGGGAAAGAAGTTGCCGTATCTGCAGGTATGTCTCATCGGAATCGCGCCCAAACGTGTTGATCTTCCCCGCTGACATATATCTCTTTCTTCCAGGCGGTCATCTACGAAGGCCTACGCATGCGCCCGGCCATCCTCGGCCTCTTCCCAAAACAAGTACCCGCAGGCGAATATCCAATCTTCCACGGAAAGATGCTTCCCCCAGGGACCGATGTATGCATGAACATGTCGGCCCTGCTGCAGTCAACAGATTTGTTCGGCGCCGACGCGGCCGTGTTCCGACCAGAACGCTTCATGGAGGTAGACGACGAGAGACGCAGACAGATGGAGCAGGAGGTGGATATGACGTTTGGCTACGGAGGCTGGGTATGCGCAGGCAAGAACATCGCTATGATGGACATGGTGAAGGTGGTCTTTGAGGTATGTTCGCAACGTGCGCGATGGTGTTGGTGTGACCGGCGCTAATCTTGGCAGATGCTTCGCGTGTTCGATTTGCAGCTTGTGCGTCCTTTTGAGCCGTGCGATACGATCAGCTATGGCGTATTCCTTGACAAGGGGTTGATGGTGAAGGTGTCAGAGAAGATGTGAGATGGACGCGTTTCGTGTTTATCACCTGGGCAGGCGTGGCAGGCCTCGGGGGCAGGCGGCTCGGAGGGCTGATTGGAGGATCTGGCGGGGCCATCACCCAATGAGGCAGGTCAGCCGAGGAGCCTCATCTCCATGGAGTTTGCTTCTACGAGAACATGGCTATAGGGCAACACCAAAAACCTGCTGCTGCACTATACAGATGTATGCGAAATCTTTATGCTAATCGTCGTCCTTTCTTGATAACACCTTCACTCTCTCCAGCGATGCAGATATGACTAACGTTTTCCTTATGTCCTCTGTCGCGAATGAACATGTTCACAACGCACTGCCTGTTATTGCCTTTCTTGAGAGGCGCTTCGTCGTTTACTCATGCGAAGCCAATGTCGGTGGAATGCATGCATCGTCGTTTACCCCTTTGATCGGATCACTCAAGCATGTACCGGATGCACGTCGCGTGGGCCTACGAATCAGTGACACATGCTGTTGCGAAGGCTGCAAGTGATACATGGTCAGCAGAGAACCGTCGTGTAAAATAGTTGTGCGATTAAAAGGCTGTGCGTAGCGAATCGAAGGCACTTGAGAACAGCGACTGGGCGACATAGTGGACACTTCAGAAGCACGTCACAGCAGCATGGAGTCCAACGTTGTTAATTACTGCATTTATTCGACTATCTAATTCCTTCCCTATCTTCCCTCCTCCAATATGGTAAAAAATGACTAACCCTCACTACCATGCTTGTGTGCGTTTCAACTTCAACGGCAAACCATCCTTGGGCTTGATAGCTGTAATACCAGCAGGTTGTGGCACATAGGCTTTATCTGCCATCTCAAACTCAAAGCTACCCACAAAAGCGGAGATGAAAGCCCGTAACTCGACCTTTGCATAGCCCGCTCCAATGCACTTACGCGGTCCATGCAAGAAGGTCATGAAAGCGTAGTTCGTGTGTGCATTGCCATGGTTGTTCGCTCGGCCGCTGTCTTCATCAATCCACCGACCCGGTTCAAAAGTATCGGCAGTCTCTCCGTAGAATGACGCAAAGCGATTCATAGCCGCGGGAACAATCCACAGACGTGTTCCGGCTGGGATGCGGGTACCGACAACGGTAGTGTCTTCTACGGCGACGCGTGATGTGATGGGCGAGGTGGGCATGAGACGTAGCGTTTCGTTGACCACGGCGTTTAGGACGGGAAGGGTATCGAGTGTTGCAGAGTCGCTGAACCTTTCTGCATCGTTGTCGAAAAAGCGGTAGGGAACGTGTTCGCGAATTTCGGCACGGAGCCGATCTTGCCAGGTGGGGTTGATGGCAAGTAGCCACAGAGCCCAGGTAAAAGTTGCTGAGGTAGGCTCGTATCTGTGTGACTGTTAGCAGCAATTCCCATCGTCCATCAGTAAACGTTGACGACATACCCTGCGCCGATGATTGTTAGAAGCTGGCCAACCAGCTCCTCGTCCGTTAGCGTTCCACTTTGTATGAGCTGCAGTAAGAGGGCTTTTTGGCCGGTGCCTTCGGCAACTTCTTTCTTCCTCTCTTCGACGAAGGCAAAGCAAAGCTGTCGCAGCTTATTGCGAGCGTCATCGAGGTCCCGGTTAAATTTCCGTGGGAGGAGCTGTAGGACCCAGGCCGGCAAAAAAGCGTTGGCTATGAACAAGTGACGAACGCTCTCTTTGCTGCCAGTCAACAGCTCATACAACTCCGTGAGCTCATTCGGTTGCCGTAGTGTGTCGAAGTCTTTGCCCAATGCAGCGAGACCGATAGCATCGAGAGTACCTTTATTACCCCAGGGCAGAACATCCACCACGGTGTGCTTTGCGTCAGCTGAGGCGGTAGACCGTTCCATTGTCTCCACCATATCAATAGCCTTTGACCAGAAAACGGGGCAAAGATCTTGAACGGTTCGATGATTGAATGCCGGCTGAATGCGTTTACGTAGGTATTTGTGCTCATCGCCTTCCAAGATGAGGAGAGACGGCCCCAGAATTCGGCTCATCAGTCGTCGAGACACCGCTGGCTTGGTGAATGAGTACGCGCGACGAACCAGCACCTCAGAGAGGGCCTCGTTGCTGACTACCAGGACATGATTGACGTTCATAAATCCGCGGAAATGGATCAGACCCTGGTTGGGTACCGAGCTTGCCATGTCCAAATAGGCTTGTCCACGTGGGTTGGTGAATTGAAGGAGCCCATGGCCTAAGAAAGGTAGCCCACCCTGAAGCAACACTGTCAGTTATGCACCAAGCATCCCATGGTAATATCTCACTTTGGCTGTAGGAAGATGTCGAAATGGGTTGAAAAGACGGGGGTGGATTTCGACCTTGTACACCAGGTATATCACATAAACCACAACTAGCGTCGCACAGAGCGCTGGTAAGGACAATGGAATCGAGGCAAATTGAGAGGAGATCAGTTCTGTATACATGGCGAAGGTATGAAATGCTGTAGAAACCGTTACACGAAATGTAGGATATGTACACAGATCACGCCTGCGATTCTGATAGCGAATGACGTCTGTTTTGCTAGGACAAATTATTAGTTTATTGTGTCCAACATCAATCTTTCCGTCCCTTCGCCGGCTCAGAAAAGAGTTCCAGGCTCAGAAGCGTCGCGAGGCGGATAAGGCGCGATCGTTGGCGAACGGTTGACGTTGGCGATGCTGGTCGGGCCAGATGCGGGTGGTAGGCTGGAAACAATCGCCCGGAAGTATGCAACCCAAAAACCCGATGGGATGAAGGAAACCTCCCGACAATGGCGTGATTACATTCTCACCATAACGCGATGATCTTGCGCCAGCGCAATTGTACCAGTTTCGTGCTAGCCTGCTGCAGCGCAAGTTGGTATCGAAGTCGCGGCGTAGTCAAGCGAAGGAGAAGTGGAAGTTGAAGAACCCCCCATATCTTGATAAAGTCATTCGTCTTATTTCTCCTACTGGCAGCTCAATTGCCATCATCTCTCCAATATTTACTCCAGAGCACCAACCAGCTGAAACATGATGGAGATGCAAGAGAAACTTTTCATCAATAACGAGGTGAGGACAGAGACAGTACAAGACATGTCGGGTCATGGAAGCTAATAACCAAATGCAGTACGTCGCATCGCATACTAGCGAGAGGCTCACGGTGCACAACCCGTACGATGGAAGTCTTGTTTCAGACAAGATCGAAGTAGCGCTAGAAAAGGATGTCGACTTGGCTGTGTCGGCAGCACAGGCGGCGTTCCCAACATGGCAGGCAATGACAGGCGTACAGCGTAGTGCGCTCATGCTCAAGTACGCCGATCTGGTCGAGAAGCATACTCAACAGATAGCCCAGCTCGAGTCGCAGTGTATGGGAGCGCCCATGATGCTGGCGACGAGGGTGGTAGGGAACCATGTGGCCGCTTTCCGGTATTACGCAGGTTTGACAGATAAAATCGGTGGCACTACTTACGCCGAAGATGGCGATGGCTTCTTCAAGATGGTGTTGCAGGAGGCGATTGGAGTATGCGCAGGCATCGGAGCGTGGAATGCGACGCCCATCTTTTCGGCGTTGAAGGTGAGAATGCCGCCTATGTTCATTCTTCCAGACAATTGCTGACTGGAGTGCAACAGATCGCACCCGCTATCGCAGCAGGTAACACATTTGTGTTCAAGGCGTCAGAGAAGTCGCCGCTGGGCGCGTTGTACCTTGGACTACTGTTCTGCGAGGCTGGCTTTCCCCCAGGTGTAGTGAACTTTGTGTCCGGCGGGCCAGCGACGGGTGCTCTCCTCGCATCGCACATGGGCATTCGCAAAATCTCCTATACGGGGTCCGTCAGCGGCGGACGCGCAGTACAGGATGCAGCCACAAAGAGCAACCTGAAGCAAGTCACACTTGAGCTGGGAGGCAAGTCGGCAGCACTTGTCTTTGACGATGCCCACCTCGAGACCGCCATTTCGCAATGCTCGCAGACATTCGCCCTCAATGGTGCCCAGGTATGCTCCGCAGCCTCGCGAGTGCTTGTCCACCGCGACATCGCCGATGCCTTCATCGCGGGCATCAGCACTGCTTTCAAGCAGTTGGCTGCAGCCCACGGCGCGCCGGCGGAAGCCTTCTTTGGCCCCTTAGTTGACAAGCAGCACCGTCAGCGAGTGCAGGCCTTCGTGGATGCTGCCCGTGACGAGGGCGTCAAGGTGGTCGCAGGCGAGGTGCCTGACCACCCCACCGCCCTATTCATGCCGCCGACGATTCTGATCGATCCGCCAACCAACAGTCGCGCATACCGCGAGGAGATCTTCGGGCCTGTCTTGGCTGTGAAGACCTTTTCCACAGAGGAGGAAGGTCTTGCACTTGCCAACGATTCCTCCTACGGGCTCGCTGCTGCTGTCTTCACCTCCAGTATGCCACGTGCCCTGCGTGTAACCCGCGCTCTCCATGTCGGCATGGTGGGAGTCAACAGCCCGGTCCTGCCCTTGAGCCAGCTGCCATGGGGCGGGTGTAAGGAGAGTGGCTACGGGCGCGAGGGCGGGATGGCTGGTCTGGAAGAGTATCTGCAGTCCAAGACGGTCATGATCAGCATGAAGGACCCAACTTCCGCCAAATAGATTAGTTCGTAGCGTTATAACTCTAGCAATCACACTCCTTACAACTTCTCGTTCGGTGTACTACTCCTGACCTTTGCGTGAAGTAAGACCAGAAGCTAAGTGCGAAGCTGTCTCCGTTTTATCGTGCACTCAACTGACAGGAGAATGCGTCTGGTCTTGTTCCGCGCTCGTGGCGTACGTATACGGGAGCAAAGCACACGGCCAAAGTGGGATCGTTGTAGAGCACCGCAGATGCTGATTCAAGCTGAGAGCATTGGAAGGCATAGATGTCGAGGTTTGATGTGCACAGAAAAGCGTTGGCGGCGTAGTGACTGCGTGAATGTTCGCATCAAGAGGTGCAGCGTGCCAAGTCTCGGAGCTTCGCTAGCCGAAGTGGTCAAAGCTCTCAAATCGCCAGCCATCCGCAACATTCCTACATACACCAACCTTCACATATCGAGTTTTATCGAGATGAAAACATTACAACACATGGATTGAACTTTTTGATATATACCGTCTGAATTCCTCTCCCGTCCAGAGTACCACTAGATGCCTGCCCGTTCTTGGAACCGGATGTACAAATCGGGTCGGTTCAGAGTCTGAAACGACCTCAGAAGCCCAAAATGGGGATCCAGACTCCACTGGCGATTCTTCTCACCTTCCATTCCCTTGGTCTCCAATTCGAAGTCAAAAGACCAAAGTAGATGTGCGATGGTCAATCGGATTTCGAAGTAGGCCAAATTCTGGCCTATGCAAAGTCTTGGCCCGGCCCCAAACGGCGCGGACGCAGACAGCTTGTCCTCTTCAAAAGCTGGGTCCCAGCCCTCGTCGGGATTATTGCGCAGCCATCGCTCGGGGTGAAATTCGTTGGGCAGATGGAAGTTACGCTCAGAGCGTACTGACGCCCATGGCGACGTGGAGACTGCCGTACCTCCCGGCACTACAAGCGGACCGATCTGCGCACCCTGCGCTGGGGTTTCGCGTGGAAGACTTGAGCTGACCGGTGGGAAGACACGCAAAGCTTCTTTGATGCATGCATCAAAATACACCAAGTCTTCCAACTTTTGTAGTGTAATGTCACTTGGGTCTGCGAAGGTGGTACGGATGAGGGTAGCGAGGCGCTGATGGATGTCGCGATGGGTGCTGAGAACCCACATGAAACTGACGAGAAGGGAGGAAGTAGTCTCGGAGCCGGCAACGATGAGGGCCATCATGTCGAGGTAAAGCTCGGTTGGCGAGAGGGACTTTCGGGCGTCCTGGTTGCGTTGATAGTGGTAAACTATGTCTTTATGGTCAGACTTTTCGTCGGCAAGACCTGGTTCAATGTTAGCTGACTTTGACTCTGTAGACACATAGCGAAAACCTACGCTCGAGAGTCCTTTTCTTCGCGTTCACGAAAGAAATCATCCTCCACTTCATTGCTTCCTTCGGCATAAGTTTGAGCGCGATACGGTTGAGCAGTGTACCCACTCCCGCGACTCTCCGGACGGCCATGTCCAAGTTCGAAGTAACAAGAACTTTCGTCGTTGCCTCTGCCCATTCAGTGGCAACACCACTGTCCAAGCAGTGGAACGACTCGCCGAAGCATATATCGCCGATAATATCGAATGTTGTAAAGGATACTGTACTGCGTTAGACCATGTTACTTTCCCCAGTGACATGACAGATGGGAGAGGAACTTACACCAATCGGCCATATTCAAGGCTTTGCCGTTCTTTCCTCGTGTCTTAATTACGTGCACCAATTTGGATATCTGAGTCTCGAGTATCTCCTGCTGTGATACAAGCGCAGGCTTCGTAAAGCCAACTGCCATTCCACGTCGGTGTCTCTGGTGCTCAGCCCCCTTTGAGAGCCCGATCCCGATACAGCCATCGACGGGTGTTGCAATGCCAATGAAGATTGGTGACTTCTCCAACGCTTTGCCATGCTAAACCAATCTGTTAGCCGGGACTGCACTACATGTATAGGCGCTGCTGGTTGGACTTACGCGAAAACCGTATATCTGCTCTGCTCCATATGGTTCGGCAAAGCTCAACTCATTCGGGGAGATCCGAACGACTGGTCCGTATTTCTCATGCAACTTGTAGTTGTACAAGTGTTGAGTACCACGGAAGACTGCGATTGCGCTCGGGATATTCGACACGCTGTTGAGCCATGGTCCTGGATATTTCCGCAAAGGATGTATCCATTGTCGATAAACAGCTGGCCCTATGACGGATACTAATATCTTCAGACATGAGTCAGTGTTTGTTCCATGCGTTGGCGCATGTGTAGCTCACCACCAACAAAATGGTCCACCCCGCAAAGGGGTTGTGCGAGAGGGCGAGTTCGAGCACAGCCATCACGCGAGTAGGATGCTATGGTGGGGAGCTCTTTGGCAAAGGAGAATCGAAGTGGCAGGAATCTGAGTGAAAGAGTCGGGGAATTCCTTGTCGGGATTCTCTTTGGTGGTTTTGAAGTGGATCGACGTGTGTCAGAGAACACTAAGGACGGTCAACGGCACATATACCGACTATGCTATCGATAGCAAAACGTCGTCGACTTAGTAGACCGCAATGAACCGAATTGATTGATGCCGGAATGCGCGGATGCAACGGTTGATACTACGTCATGACGGGGGAGAGGTTGACATAATATCCCGCGGCCTTATTCAAGGTTGGATTTGGGTTTCGGGTCATTCACCATCAGATCTGACCCCGCGCATGAGTCGCAGATGGGCGATTGACGAAACGAGGAATGCGCGATTGAGTTGTGTATCGAGAACGAAATATGCCACGAAGATACCAGAATTGGCTATGTATACTCTGGTATAAAGGCAGTACGCCACAAAGTGATCATAATCTCACACCGCTACAACACTTCGCAGCACTCAACTCATACATCGATAAACTCATTCTACATCACCATGTCTGCCTTCCCAACCAAAGTTCTGGCTAACGTCATTGGCTTTGGAATCGTCTGGACCGGGGTCTTGATGTTGCAGGTACGTTCACCACAACATCACTAAACATGAGGCACAGTCCTAACTCAAATACAGCGATTTCGCTCCCAAGGGAAACAAGACCTCCTTCCCATAGATGATCAGAAACCTAAACAACATTCTGACCAGGCGACTCATAACAAAACCCATGTTGTCAATGAGCGCTGGTACTACCCACCCGACATCGCGGATGACTTGAAAGATATCGACCTTCCATTCCGAGTCAAAGAGGAGATCTACGCAACGGCTTGGGAATACACTCGCTGTGTTATTCCTGAATACACCAACTGGTCCCGATATGTTGCCTTCATGCGCATCATCGTGATGGGCATCATTGCGGAATTCAAGGGTGATCTCATGGACGTTGCCAACGACGACAATGTCGTTGGTTACAGTCTTACCGGAGTATTGAACACCTTGTGCGGACGCACAGCAGGAGGGTATGTCTCACCATCTGGCACTCTGGGCTTCCCAAGCTTTTTTTGCTAACACAACCCCGTCTTCAGTGAAGAAATGTGCCGCGAATACCGCTGCTTCCTGTTGATGTCGTCGCAAAAATCTCGCCACCAGACAAACACTATGCTGTTCCGCCGTTACAGTGTCGCTCTATCGAAGGGCCCTTGGCAGTTCTTCCGCATGCGCGATACCGACGCGCTCGCCCGCTTCACCATCGGTGTAGCGCTAGTCTGCAACGATCTCGACAACATCTGGTTCACTGAAGAGCAATTCGACATCATGGCCGAAATCGGTAACACCATGTACGACGGTATCTCTTACTGGAAGCATCGTTCCGAGGGAGAGATCAACAGCACCTTCGCATACGTCCCAGAGGAGAAGCGCGTCTTGGCATACCACAAGTGCCGCGAGGCGCTCTGGGCTTTGGACGTAGCGTGGGCGAGACAACCCGAGATGAAGTGTGTCATCAACTTTCTCCGCTACTTTGGTGGCCCAATCCACATGATCATGCGACGATACCGCTTTGTGGAAGAGGGTCTGACTCTGGGCCGACCCGAGGACCAGCGCGTCATTCAGCAGACGCGGAGCAACGTCAAGCTCTGGAATAGGCTGGACGAGCAGAAAAAGGCGAAGGAGCAAGAGAAGATGAGCGTCGAGCAGTACCGTCACGTTCTCGCGAACGAGAAGGTCTTGTTGTTCAACGGTCTCGCGCCTATGCTGGACAAAGCCGAGCTGGGTCTGTGCAACAAGTGCAGCTACCGTGAGACATATGGTGCCCCGCAGGCTCATACCTTTGGCGGAGTCGTTCTGTGCGACGAATGCCAGCAGGGGTGGGCCGATTGGACGGAAACCGTGCTACAGCGCATGGTCAGAGCCTTCCCGGAGGCTGCTGAGACTGTCCGTGTTAGTGAGATGCGATCGAGGTCCTCAATCGCACCGTGAGGATTGCACTAGGCTTTTGAAGAGATGGAGATGTGTTAGAATACCACAGGGCGGCGCGCTGTTTATCTAGATTGTATATGTGGAGGCGAGATGCATTCCCTTGTTCGTTGTTTACTCAGGCGGTCTTGAGGAGCTAGGCGGAAGGAGTCGAAACGGTGGGAATTGGCGATGTAGCCACGCTTTGATACCAGGCCGGTTCTGTTTGTATAGATAGTAGCGAAATGAACATTGTCCCCGTACGAATATCTCCCTCAACAGTTTTCCACTAAGCAGAGTCAAAGTTCGCTCTTGCCGTTCAGGTCAAAAGATCTCGGATACTACTGTGGCCGGTGACAGCATCTCCACGATAGTGTAGCGAAGCAGAGAATACACCTGTGAGCCAAATAGGGCGTGGTCTTGATTCAGTCTATGCATCGGAATTGTACCTTGGTATGCGAGACGATTGTGACAGGTTTGGGATGGATCGCTGGAGTGCCGTCTGATGTGTCACTCAGATGTAAAGTGGTCTGCATGCCATTTGAGCGTACAAAATGTATTGCAAAGTAATGCGCAAAGTATGCGACAGCAGTTGCGCAAGTATGCAAGTGCAATATTAACGTGAGGAGGTGGTTCATCCTGGGGGCTGCTGCTCCGGGCAGTTGAG